CAAACGTGTTAACTACTTATCTTTGTAAAAGTGCAAATTTTTCAATACAATTTTGTAACGAAGAAACGCAATTTTATTTACGCAAAAAACAATAACAAAGGCGACAGTTCTCCAAAGTGAATTGACTTTTCACACTAGATGTCGCCATCAGCGCTTTATTTCGGTCTGTTTCCACAATTTAAATAATAAAACATTCTCGTTAATTTAAAAAAAATCAACATTTCACATCGCGGAGTCCATTTTTTAGTTATAAAAAACACCGCTAAAAGACGCGACTGTACGCGACGTAATGTTAGAATTAAAACAAGTGAAGATTTAGATGTGTTTCTTAAAGTCTAAGGGAGATGGAACTTTAGAGATCAAAATGCTTAAGTTGAATTATAAATATATCTAGTTAATGCCCGTATTCTGTCGCTGAACCAGCTGGAGGATACAAATATACATTTAAAGTAATGACCATTATTTACTTGCAACTCTCATTTCTTGAAGTTTGAAATCCCCATAAAACTCTTAAGCCGAAACGCCTGCACGCATTTAACTCTGTAATAATTATAAAATCTCATTAAAGCAGAACAGCGCCCCCTTTGTTTTCACAGCCGTTAATTCGAGAACTGTTTCCAATAAAAAAAGTGGTTTTTATATGAACGATGCTTGAATCCCTTTTAACATTTTTAAAAACGAACACTTTGCCGTGTAAAATTTGGAACAAAGGATTGAGGGCTATTGTTTAAGTATTATTTCTGAGTACAGAATCGTCTTTGTCGGTTTCGGATTACATATTTTTTTCGTTGAAAAAGAAATTATTATTAAATGTAACTTCGTTTAGACTAGCTGTTCCCGTGCGGCTTCATCCGTAAGAAAATATGAAAATTTTTATATATTGTTTACATGTGTCAAATGATCAATTGCAAATGTCAAAATGACATGACATGATGACAAACCATGACAACCTTGCTTCCTTGATGTTGGCAGCAACTTATAGTCTCTTCCCCACATTAGGGTTTTTATCCAAAATATTTACCCCCTAAGTTTAATGGCGTGAAAACATATAGCTTAAAGCATGACATAAGTTTAAGGCTTTTTATTAAAAAAAATAATTATTCAAAAATATGCTGTAATTGCTGACATCTTAGACAACAAAGAAGTGCGTGTTTACGCTTTATTATAATAGTAAAGATTATATGGGCGTTTTCTTACAACCTACCTCATCCTTATGTCTTTTGGCTTACCTTTCCTAAAGTCATAGATGAGGTTACAGACTTAAAAACCTAAATAAACATCGCTTTAACTAACCTCTCCAAGGATATACAATTACTGGAATTAACGATCGTGTTAACATAAGAGAGAGTAGATGAAAGAAACTGTCCAGATGTCTTATTTTAGTTAGAGTGTCATCGGAGACGAGGCCGGACCGCGTAATCATTTAAACTTAATGACTAGTCTGTGAATACGTAACACGTAAGCTATAGTTTATTTTTAAATGTACTGTTTTTAACGCAACAGCTGTTTGGTAGAGAAGGTAAGGAGTAAAAGGTTAGCATGGTATGGGCATGTTATGAAGAGGGATGAATCGCATGTTACAAGAACTTTAGTTATGAGTGTGGAGGTAGACCTAGAAAGAGATCGATGGCGCGTGAAAGGTGACATTATCAAAAAGGGAGTAATGACTGAGATGACGTATGATAGAGCTGTTGTAGCTATACATATATTGAGGACAAATACCTGTTGCGCTGACCCTACGGGAGTGCGATAAGGAGGATTATGATGTTGACTGTTTTTAACACAAATTGGAGCATTTATGTTACATAGATTCTTATTCGATTTACTATTGTAACTCTTATGGTAAAGACCCTAAGTCATAGCGATTTCGAAATACCTCGGAGAAAATTCCACGATGAGACTATGCAAGTATATAATGTGTAGTTTGTTTGTATTTACATACTAATTTAATTAGTCTATACTGATATTGTGAAAAGGAAATATTTGTATTTTTATATATATTGAAATAACTTAAAAACTACTGAGGCGATTTCAAAAATCCTTTCATCATTACAAAGCTACGTTATTATTTAGTAACATTTGCAATATTTTTTTATTATTTTTTAATTTCACAAGGGAGATTTCCCTAGCAATAGCTATTTAAAAAACTAATTTGACATCAAATAAATCGTAGTATTTCACAAAATAACAAAAAGGGTATATTCTCTCACATGGTGTTCGTTTCCGTAAACATTGTTAGTACAAATAATAACTGACGAGTGCGTTGACCGGACAGACTAAACATCAAGCGATTAGACGCTTGCATCGACCACATGAAAGTCTTGCATATGTAAATGTTTTGTTGTCAAAATGTTACGATACTTCGTCTTGTACATTCATCCTTGACCCATAGGCGTATGAAAAATGATCTTTCTATCGGCTCGGTCCTTACACCTTGTGTTATCGACATTCATACCTAACCATTCATGTTTTGGATGTTTTTAACACCCTCTTTCTTGAGTATTATAAATCTGATATCGCCACGTTTTATAGCAAACCTGACTAATACTAAAAACAAAACGGTCATCATCAACTTGCCCTTATCCCTTATGGAGGGTCGGAACAGTATGTGCTGCTCTTCCATACATCTCTATCAGCGGTCATATCTGAAAAACAAAACAGTAACATAGTGAATCTTTACATCGTCTAGTTATAGGGGGCACATGTTGCACGATTGTCTATTGTTTTGTTGTCCATTCAACTGTTTAGTTGTACAAATCAACATCGAGTAGTGTTCGCACCTCCATAGAAGCTCAAAGTTAAAACAATTAAACAGTTGTGCGATAGTTTAGTTTCATGTGTGCACGCTCTAATCCCCTTTTTTACCATGTTTTTTAACCGACTTCCCAAAAGATTATCAATTCTTTTTATGTGTTTACTTTAAGTCAAAACCTCACATCGATCGTGTCCAAGTAATTGACAATCGTCTCCTCATTTGTCTAATGTCTAGTGAGTATTGTAGAGGCTTTCATATAGACTTTGCTTAACAATTTACCATCCAGTTAACAAAATGTAATACAGCGCCATCTATTGGTATAATATCTAATTTTTCAAACTAAACTATTGCTATTTTTTTCTATTTAATTAAATTAAAGGTCTACTTTTTATAGAGGAGTTTTGTTATTTTAACTCAGAAATATTATATAAGTAATTCCTTCGTTTTACGATTTTCTTCAGGTCAAGTGCTTGCTTACAGTTTTATGAGTTGTTCATCAGATTTTATGTTTAATTTATTATTTTTAATGAACTGACATAAGATTAATATAATAAAGCGTAAACACACATTTCTTTGTTGCCTAAGATGTCAGCAATTACAGCATATTTTTGTATAGTTATTTTTTAAATAAAAAAAGCCCTACACTTACGTCGCGGTTTAGGCTATATATTTAACGCCATTAAACTTAGGATCTAAACATTTTGGTTAAAAACCGTACTGTGGGAAAGAGACCATAAGTTGCTGCCAACATCAAGGAAGCACGGTTGTCATCATGTCATGTCATTTTGACATTTGTAATTGATAATTTGACAGATGTAAACAATGAAATAAAATTTTCATAATTTCATGCGGATGAAGTCGCACGGAAACAGCTAGTCCTAAATAAACCGACTTTGCCTAAATTAAATCACGCTTCGGAATATATTAAAGTTGTTTACATTTTTATGTTTACTAAACAATTAAACTTTTCATAGATTTGAACGAGAGAAAGTCTATTTAAGGAATATTAAGTACCTTTGTGTTTATTACCCAAGTAACAAAACAAAGTTTACGTGTTTTTAAAACCAATAATTAACATTGTCTTCGTTTCATTATCTATGAATAAATAGGGTGTACACGGATTGAAATAAAAATCCTTGAAATTTGGTTTATATGTAATTCAAATATAATCTTTGTTGTTTTTATTATTAAAACTATAGATGTCATCTTAGAGCGGTCGCACACACTTGACAAAATTATCACACAACTGTTGTGTTATTGTCGATTGTTTCGTAGCCAATTCAACTGTTTAGTTGCACAACTAAAAATCGAGTTGTGTACGCACCTTTATAAGCTCTTAGGAATCAAAGCGAGACTAAACAGTTTAAAATCATTGTTAAAAATTGCAAATCTTATATAGATGTGAAAGTTTAGATGGGTAGATGTTTATTAGAGTTTGTAGCCTAAACGGCTGAACGGATTTCGATGAAATTTGGTATAGATGTAGAGGATAGTCTGGAAGAACACATAGGCTACTTACTTTTTTTTAATTTCACGTGAACGGAGTCACCGGCGAAAGCTAGTAAGCTAAGTAGCTATATATGTAAGTGTTATTCTAAGTTAAAATAAGTATTCCTGTTCAGTACGCGTTTAGTAATTGCTGTACCAGGGGTGCAGGTGCCGTGATTTATTTTAAGCCTCGTAACTTGGCTTCCCGCCAAATGACCACTATTGCTGCCTGTTAGGGAATTTTAGAATTATGCTTATGATTAATTTTAGACAATAGGGTAGTTTGATAACTTGTGTTATAGTTAATTTAATTAGATTTTATTGCGGAAGGAGATTATTAAAAGTGCATTAGTAAGTGTACTGACTGTCTTAAAATGTGTTATGAAAAAATCTAAAATTAGCATAATTGAAGAAAGCATTATTAAGTAACTAGCTGTTGCTCGCAACTTCGCCCGTGTGAATTAAAAAAAAAATTGAAAAACCCACTCGCAGATAAATTACTTTTCTAACGGTGAAAGAGTTTTTTAAATCGGCCCAGTAGTTGTTGAGTTATTCCAAACAGAAAGACATACATCCAAAAACACATAAATATAAATCTTCTTTATTATATTAGTACAGATAATAACTATCACCCTTACAAATAAACGCGGTGTAAAGTTAAACTTAGGAATAAACTAAGTATAAGCAAATATTAGTACAAATTTTGCTTACACTCATTTTATTACTTTAGTTTAGTTTTTAGTTCAATTTATGGATAATATTTTCATTTAATTAAGACATAACAATTGATTGCAACGTTGCATTTAATTTTTACTCTATACTTTTAATTCAAGACTCAAAATGCTCTCATCGCAAACAAAACTTTAGCCATTAAGTGTTTACTTGTACGGGTCGCAACTAAACAAAGCACCCTCATGGCATACAAAGGCCGTTTTTAAGCCGTCAACTTGATTTTTTTTTCCCATAAAAAGTTTATTAAAACGAGTTACAAGACGTTCTTTGTCTCAACAAACTTACTTTTGATTTGATTTGATTTGATTTGATTTGATTACTATCAATATACGAGTATAATTACGACGTCTAGATTTTTGCATACATTTGAAAGATAACTTCGTACTCAGAATAGTTTAAATGGACGTTAAGGATTACTTGTATAGGTTTCTCATGTATACTGAGGGAATCAGTTTACAGCAGGAAGTAAGAATCAAGACTTGCGAATTAATTTATACGAGAAAATAATAAAAATGTGGAGCTAAAAATCTGGTAAGTCATATATTAACTTTGCCCTAACTTTCACATGCTATAATTTATATCAAAGCTATTCAAAATTCAGCCAATTAGTGGCGCTCAATGGCGGTGTAGACAATGGAATACTTTGGTTAAGTTTTAATTAATGTAAACGATCATTAATTTGGTTTATTGAGGGAGCATGAATTCATACGCAGAAGCTTATATGAAATATCGCGGGGCAAGTTTGGCAAGTTTGTATTTCGACTTAAAACTTCAGTCAACGTTTAAAATTGACTCACAAACTATAAAACTAAATACTACACTATTATCACCTAAAGACATTTGAGTTTAATATCATGTGAATATTTAAGAATAAAAAAGGACAAAAGGAGTTTCAAAAACTCATTTTATGAATTTACGAGCTGTTGCCCGCAACTTCGTCCGCGTGGTATTAGAGAACATACAAACTATATAAATTACTAAAAGCTACGTATCCCTCGGGAACCGGATATTTCTCGGCGATGAAGCTTATCCCTTGTGTACTCCAGATTTTGTTTTATATCTGTGCCAAATTTCAATAAGATATGTTGAACCGTTGCAGAATGATCGAGTAAACATTAATGAATCCCACGGGAACCGTAACTATTCCCGGGATAAAAAGGAGCCTATGTGTTCTTCCAAACTATGCTTTAAACCTGTGCCAAAATTCATCGAAATCTGTTCAGCCGTTTAGGCTACAAACTCTAACAAACATCCATCCATCCATCTAAACTTTCACATTTATAATATTAGTATGAAGTATGATTGAACCATAAACACTATTGAATGGTTAAAAACAGAGAAACCCACCATTAATGAATCAACAAATATAGAATAAATGTTTATTTACATATAGTTGGTGACATAGACGTAGGTACGGGTATATGACCGACCCCTGCTGCGAAGGCCGCAGCGGGTCATGGCGGTCAGAGTCATACGAGGGTATCGCACCATTTCGCATGAAGCGGCCTGTGTACTG